AATCTTATTTCGTTGAAATTGGTATCCTGTTACTGCGACCAAAGTATTTTTTCACATCGTCGTCCACGACAACCCTCCGAGGTAGTGTTAGCATATCCCACTGCAGGTCATATGATTACTTTGGAAGACAAATATTCGCTGTCCTTTCACCTGAAAGCCCAGCTTGTTTTTCTTTTGTACGAAAATTGAAAATTCCCATTATTCCCTTCCACGGTTTATTCTATGAATATTTCTGGCATACTTTATGCTTGGAGCAACGATTTTGACCTTCAACTAATGGGGCCTTATATTTGCGTGACGCATGTGATAGGTACGTTTCCCACATCCCTCTATCTCTCTTAGACCGTTAATAAACGTCAGCACTTTGCGATATATGAGAGGAGGACAGTGACGAAACACCGGTACATGCGATGTGAGGTTGATGGAGCAATGTTTAGTAATTTTCAATAAACCTGATGTTTGATGAAACTATAACCGCCAGATAAAGTACGCTAAGCGTTTGGAGTTGGCCGTGCAAATATGACGTTTATCATACTCGTAGTTCGCCATTTTAGAGCGACAATGTAGCTGAAAACTTATACAGGTAAAGAAATTTTGTAACCGCACATTTTTGCCTCGATCTGGATTTTTTTTACCTCGAATCAGGCGAGCAGGCAGAAGCCTAAATGCCAGCGCATTGCGGAAGGTTAGTAGAAGTGAGAAAAGCCTCCTCTTGTAGATTGTTCCACAATCTCGACACCCTCGGGACAAAGGAGCGGTCAGTTCTGGATGTACCAAGTTCGATACAGATAGGATGAGAGGCCGGGGTCTGCCTGGCAGGTACATCGCGGGTCGGCATCATGGAGGAGGGCTCTGGGAAGCAAAGCCCGTTGGTGTAGCGGTAGAAGAGAGCTAGATCGCCGTTGGCCTGCCGATGTGAAAGTGTCCCGAGATCGTCTGATAGAAAAGAGTCATCGATCAGTCGGATAGCCCTCCTCTGGACAACATCGAGCATAAATAATGTAGTCGGGGCGGCAGCACTCTAAACATCTAAGCAATACTCGAGACTAGGTATTGTCGGGGCTTTGTATGAGTGAGGAGAAAATAACTTCTTAGCCCTAAACAAATAGCTCTTTCCCAGCAGGTGCCGCTATTGATTAGATGTGTTCCTGCCAGATCAAGTCTTCGGTGATCTGGACTCTGACCAGTCGAAATGACCTGCTCTTTGGCAGAACTCGGCCATCCATCGAAACCGGATGAGCGCATTAACTTTTTTTTGTCAAGGGACAGTACTGTGTTTTGGAAGATTGTACAAGATTGTTGCGTCTCCAAGCAGTGATAGCCTCCGGGTCTCTCAGGAGGAACAGTGTCGGAGCCAAGACCGATCCAGGGGGAATACCTGCATTGACGTTGCAGTCACCAATCTGGAAAGCTTCGCTTCTCTGGAAGGCCATAGGATGGAAGCCTGCATAAGAGGGCAGCGTGTTACAGCTTATTGATCGCTTTTGTGATATCAAGGGCAACGACATGAGCCTCACCATAAGACTGGATGAGTTTACGCCACAATTGCGTGACATAAGCTAGGATGTTACCTGTGGATCGCTGGTGCCAGAAACCCTACTGTAAGTCGATATAATTAGATATATAGTAAGTTCTCCACTGTTAAGTATGACAAATATTTTTATACACTTGCTTTTTCTTCCTGTGCCACTGGCGAAGAAGAATTGTAATAGCGAATGATTTGGAAAATGAGGTATCATGTTGTTTGGATGTTATATGAGATCTACGTCACGAAAAAGCATGTCACTTATTTCCATCTGCCTGTCTGATTTTGATAAAATTTAACTACGCCAAGGACAAAAAACTTTATAGTTTTTGAAAATCGGTTCATCAATAGCTAGGGACAAAAAATAACTAAAAAAAAAAAATAAGAAACACGCAAACTTCGTTTCTGGACGTTTCAAGAACCCCTGATCGTTTTTGCAAATATTTTAGGGGGGGGGGGGTAAAAATCAGGATCTGAGAGTCGTGAGGGGCTGGGGTTGTAAATAATTTATCTTTGGTATCAGTCAAAGACGTTCCATTATTATTATTAAGCTTTTGATACCGGTAATACCTATACACATATTATACTTGTAGTCGTACACATTTATGTATGGGAATCTTCGCTCTAAAAGCATGTTTCTTAAATAATAGTGCATTCCTAATGCAAACTCTATTGATTGCATCAGCCTGTGTACGTTAAAAATGATCTTACATCAAACAAGCCATATGCCAGGTGATCAAAACTTCCATTAACTCGTCGATTATGTCAGACGTATCGGAACGCCCGATTGTTCTAATATTAGCCAAAGTACCTGTAGCCACACAACTGAATGACATTCTTGCAATAAGTATACTTCCAGCTAAGTAGGAACTTACTGAGAAGATTGTGGAAGCAGAACTGTTATGCATCATAAACCTTAATGATACTCTGGCTGATGTTCAATCAGGTTTTAGAAAGTACCACCACGTAACTTATGCAAATTACAAACGAAATGACCGATTTTAGTAAAGCATCATGTAAACATGAAAACCACAGGATAAGTTTCAGGAGTTACATTAATATATCTCGACATTACAACAATCTTGGTTATTTGAAATATGGTTCAAAGGCCGAATGTTCTATAAACTGATTAGATATAAAAACCAATATATCTTTATGATGACTTAACATTGTTTTGTTTTCTCCACACTTTAACCCTCCGGTGGGCGCGCTATCGGCACATACCTCCTTTTGAATGGACTGACGTTAATTGGTACCATGAAAAAAAAACAAAAAAGAAATTCTACCCGATTTTTTACCAAACACTTCACGTCAAGTACGAACCACTCTATTCGGGTTTCAAGATATGACTCTAACCTCTTATGTAAGCAAAAAGAATAAGGCGGTAATCTTATTGGCAACAATGCAAGATGCAGGTGAAATTGATGAGACCACTAAAAAGCAACAGGTCATTTTGGACTACAATAGAACAAAATGTGGCGTTGATACCGTAGACCAGAAATGTGCGTACACAACACAAAGAATTACTAGAGGATATGGCCTCTACAATTTTTTTTCGAATGCTTGACATTGCTGGAATAAATTCTGAAATTATCTATAATAATACTAAGCCTTTCGCTGATCCTCCTAGAAGACGTATTTTTCTAACCGAATTAGCTTTTGAGCTGTTTGCGGATCATCTAAAAGATCGAGCTAAAAATTCAGCGCTTTCCAGAGATATGACAGCATTTCTTTCAAAATATCGTACAGTTCCTGAGACTGCGGTAGCAGTTACCAGAAATTATAATGGATGGTACCATATTTGCAACTCTAAACAGAACAACAGAACCACAGTTACTTGTAATTTGTGTCAACATTTTGTATGCAAGGGACACAGCACTAAGACTGTTACATAACAAAATTGTATGCTTACTGAAGTAGAAGATAAAGAAGATTAGGAAGAAAGAATAGATTTTTTGATTTTGTTAGAAATAATGTTTATTTTGTTTTATTTACATTTTATTTTCGTAATATTTTAGAATAATGCATTTCATATATTTTTTAGAACTACGATAACTGTATTATATTTTTTTTTATACTCCAACTACCACGAAGGCCTAAGGCCTAAGCACCCATTGGGTACCGTGGGGCTATAGGGGGATACATGGGAAAGGGGGGACGCCACACGGACTCTGTTGAGGAAACACGTGTGCATGCAACATGCACACATTCTGGCTCCGCCTACGAGATCTGCCGGGTGGTACCTCCGCGTTCGACAGTCAGAGACCATCTACCACCTACGGACAATCACAACATCCATAGCCAAGAGAAAAATTTCTCCTGGGACGGGACTCGAACCCGCACAGCGCACGGAGACTGATCAGGAGACCGAAGAGTCTACTACTGCGGCCACTGCTGCTGCCTAAAACAAACACACAACATCCATGGCGAAGGCGAGATTCGAACTCGCGGCCCGGCCGGCCGGCTGATCAGTAGCACGACACTCTGACCCACGCGGCCAACCGAGGTCCCCCGAATAAAATAAATTTGGATGTTTCGATATTTTGAAAGCACGCCTGCCGGTGCGTTAAACTGCAAGCTTGGACTAGCAAACGTAAATAGTTCTAGCTTTATACTTCCAATCGTTTTGAATGAGAATGTTGACTATTCGAACACAATTCCTTATAGAATTACACAAAACGTTATACATTCTTAACAAGCAGAACGGCGGGAATGCTTATCCAATATAATTGTGTCAGCTGGAGGTACAGTATGACAAAACAGTATTACAACAGCGTGCTTTGTTTACTATTTCGTTTTATGAACTGCTCTCTCTAGGATTAAAAATTATTCTTACCTACTCATTTAAGAATCTCTCTTAATACAAATATTGTTTCAGTGTGGTATGCGCTTCCAAGATATAATTATACTTTAGGTCCAGTCCGAAGACATCACTTTGTTTATTTACTATGTAGTCCGGCCCTGGAGTACTAGCCGCACACCAAGTTAAAAGACAAGAGATCCCCGCTCCCGTCCCGTCGCGCCCCGGTCTTGCACGTTGAGTCATTCGGTTTTTGGTGTTAAGCCGCGTATACATTTGAGCACGAATCCGAATGAGCACAATGCGAACGGACCGAGCATTCTGATGTGGACTGGAATCCGAAGCGAACCGAACGTGCACGCTTTGTTCGGCGAATACGCTCAGACCGATCCGCGCGCCGTCGGTTTTTATAAGTTATTACCAAAAACGGGAAATATTGTGGAATCCCCGCCATCCACAATATTATAATAATATTAAAAAGGAAGATGCATGGCGGGAAATAGCTAACGAAAGTAATGTCAACCTAAATGAATTAAAGAAGAAGTTTGAAAGCCTGAAGGGATCATATCGACGGGAGAAGGCAAAAGAAAAAAAAAGTATGGGCACGGGTAAAGGTAAGATAAGATATACTTAGTTAATTATGTAAATATACTGACTGCTGAAAAAAAAATTTTTAGGACGAGACGATATTTATTCTTCAAAATGGTTTGCTTACGAAAGTATGAGGTTTCTACATGACAGGGATTAAGCAAGGAAAACCAGAAGCGTAAGTGTTTACAGAGTGTTTTATTAAGAGTACAAATGTTATTAAATCGAAGATTAAATTTATGCGTAATGATTTTGCCAAGGGACTGCGCCCGTTGAATTATTATTTTTCTTCTCTAATTTCGTTGGCCGAAAGCGGTGCTCGACGTGGTGTGTTTGTAAGAGACATGAATGAAGACGATGGCAGGTCACTGCGCTAACTTCCTGGCACAATATGTCCATTAACTTCCTCATCTAGACTACCTGGAGGGGTGTATACATTTCTAGAAGTTCTACTTTTACGTAGAAAATTATGCAAACACACTATTGTCATGACTATCAATTGTGCCTTTTCTGGTTCTAAAAGCATCGGTTTTCGTAAAACTCGAAATACACTAGAGGCTATTCCAAACGCGTTCTCAACGACGCGGCGAGCTCTGCTCAAACGGTAGTTAAAAATTCGCTTCATAGATCCTCTTTCGTGATTCCCAGAATAAGGTTTTATTAAATAATCACATAGAGGAAAAGCTGCGTCTCCTATCAATACATACGGTGTCTGTTTTGTGCGACCAGGTAATGGTGAATTTTGAGGAAAAATTAAAGTTCCATTGGCAATTTTTTGATAAAGATCACATCGTTTAAACACACCGCCATCAGAAATTCGCCCTTGGCAACCTATGTCCACAAATGTGAAATTGTAGTCCGCGTCCACCACAGCCATCAAAACGATGCTGAATTGCGATTTGTAATTAAAAAAATCACTTCCACTTTTCATCGGGGCTTGCAAAAGTACATGTTTTCCATCAATTGCCCCTACACAATGTGCGAAGTTCCAAACTTCTTCAAATCGTTTTGATATTTCTTTCCATTCCTCTGTAGACGACAGTACATATAAAAAAAATAAAATAAAGCTCGCAAGAGTAATATACAAATATTTTTGTAGAATTCACAAATGGCCGATGATGACGTTAAGGGAAATAATGAAGACGACACCGATAGCTTACACTACGACAGCAGTAACGAAGGTGTAGAAAACGCGATTATTGATTTGGACAGTTCTCATGAAGAAATTCATTCGGATAGACACACGTCACCAATTGCAGAAGTTAAGAAAGTATTTGTATCTCCAAAAAAATCTGCCCCAAAACGAAAAGCCGGGGAAGATCCGCGTATAAATGCTGCATATCAATATTTAAAGAAAGCTGCTGAAAGGCCTCAAGAAAGTAAAGATGAATGTGCATCATATATGGTGAATATGTGGCACATAAACTAAGAAAACTATGACCGCCACCGAGCTATTGCACAACATAAGATTAATAATAATTTGTTTGAAGTAGAAATGATGCAGTTGTCAGCCCACGCACAGACCTCTCAGCATACCCAAGTTTTCCCATTCATGTCCTCAACCCAAGTTTTCGAACCACCAGTTACACAGACTCATATAGCTCGCTCTCCTTCATTTGAAACGTATAACATGCCAAGATACCAACGTACAGCGCAAGCTCCCGCATTTATTCAAAGTCAGAACCTGACAAATTTGGACATAGAAATCCCCACACATTCGTCTACTCCTGCAAGTACCCAGTCTTCAATAGGCAGTACATCGCCGAATCTTTCTAATTTTGTAGAAAATTTCAGCCCCGATTACGACGATTAATTGTTCCAGATAAATATTAGAATTGTACTTTTGTGGTTTAGTAAAACAATAAATAAATAATTATGTAGATTTTGCTTTGAAATATATTTATTTACATACCTGAACAAAATCCCCAAGACAGTGTATAATGGCTTCACACACCTCTGGAATTATACGGGATATTGCTTGTTTTGAAAATAAATACTGGAGACTCACATAGGAATCTCCAGTAGCAAGAAAGCGAAGAGTCACTGCAAGTCTTTCATCGCATGGTATTGCTTTTCTAAATTTGGTGTCACTTTTGGATATTCTCTCTCTTATGTGGTTTAAAATAAAATTGAAGTCTTCCATAGACATTCTTGTAAAATTTTTAAATCGGCATTGGTATTCTTCCGACAGTAAATCTTGCAATAAAAAACTGCTATTGACGTCTGGTTCTCTGCTCCTCATTACAAACAATGGCGATGTCCAACTGCGCCTCTTTTTCTTCTTGCTTTTCTTTAATAAATTATATAAAACTATGAAACTCGCACTGACTAGTTGCATGTCTGCCATTTTAAAACGGGTAGATCCGAATAACTGGAGCGGTTGCGAACAGGATGTTCATTCGTGCTCGTACCGATTTCAATTCGGATCCCGAACAGAGGATCAGCTCGTTCGGATTGTGCTCATTCATATTCGTGCCCAAATGTATACGCGGCTTTACAGCCGTACGGTCGCCCGGCATGTTTGTGCGTTAGGAAACACGTAACATACGCGATTCCTTTTCAAATCCGTTTAGTGCTTGGTGAGTAGGTTGGTAAGTATGTACAACAATGGGTTGTTTTGTTGCTCATCCAGTAGCACGTTATATATAATATAAGATATACTTAGCAGAAAACCATGGAAGAAAAACCTGGCGGCAGGGACGGGGATTTGGAGGTTAATTCTCCCAGTTCCTTGAGGAGTCTTATCAGGGAAATTTTACACCAGGAACTTGAGGGTAGAAGCAGCAGATCGAGGTCTCGTGCCGATTCGCCCCATTACTTTAGGCGTTCTCGTTCTCGGCTGAGCCGTAGACTAGGTCCAGGGATGTTCCGACATGCACAATTGTGCATATTATGCACAATTTTACGAACATATGCACAACATGCACCCCCCACACAAAATATGCACAATCGCCACTAAATAAAGTGCATTTTTTATACAAAACTGGCAATACATTTTCTTAACAGCTTCACGAACTGAGTGAAATGTACTGTTAGACACAAACAAAATACGAATCCAATAATTATTTGTGCATACATGCGAACGAAACACTGGCGAGGAAGCATTGTAATCGCAAAAAATGTTACTGTTCGAATTTGGATGAAAAAAGGAAAAAAGGACGAAAAAGTTTTTGACAATCGATCCAGTGGCGGCGGAGAAAAATGCCAACAATGATAAGAATCAAAATCGCTCAAACCTCGTTTTCTTGTCGTTCCATATGAAAATGGGGAATGGGTATTGCAATTTTTTAGCGGCAGTATATTGATACACTTCCAAACCCGGTAATGATACGTACCGATTAGACGTATTCCAAACATGGAATAACGCCAGTCTTTGGTGTATTATTCGATTTCCAAATCAGTTTCATTAATTATATTGCTAATAAGATTGCTGAAGCATACAAAATGTATGGATTCATCGTTTGAAATTTTAGATCATTTAATAATGAGACAGCATTGAGATTCCCATTTTTTTCTTATGCACGCTAAACTGGAGTACTGTTTGAATGTCTGTAGTCAATAGCATCAGTGTCACAAGGAAAGACTGGATACGCTATTAAGGAAGTTTTTGAAATGTCTTATGTTTAGAATGTACCATGTAAGTATATCCAGAGTAAGGAGCTAAGTATAAGCTTTTGCTAAGTCTTTTTGACATTCATTGTTTGGAGCTCAGACGGACACTGTCATTCCTCTCATTCATCCCTACTGAGCGGGGCCGTGGAAAATGCTTGTTCTGGAAGTTTTTGTATCCAGTATACAACTTCTTCCCGTTCAAGTGATTGTACACGCGTTAAGGAATACCTCAGTACCGATTGCCGGGTAGCGGTACAAGTCCGCCAACGGGCCACTTTAGGTCTATTTAACATCACTAAGAAGGTGGTAGACAAGGACCAGTCGACCAAGGCAGTACCACCCGCTAGCTTTTCCCAGGGTGTCTTATAAAAGTCCGCATGTTTCCACACCTAAGCCATGGAGTCGGTCATCTTCCAAAACAAAGAAATTAGTGATGATGGATCCTCGAGCACTAAGAACTCCGGACGTAAACTCACTCCACTCTCGGAATGTCCGGGTGGAGGGTGGGCTCGAGGGAACAACATCGACGATAAAATTTGTTTTTCGAACATCTGCGGAATTAACAGCGACATTGATGCTGTTCATCACTACCTGCAATCCAATCGTCCCTCCGTGCTTTTCTTGGCGGAGACAAAAATCTCAGAGTCTGCACCGATTAACCATCTTAACTTCCCAAACTACGAGGTGCACTCCAATCTGAGAAAGAACAGGGGAGTTGTGGCTTTTGTTCGCACCAGTCTTTCCTGCTCCAGACATATTTCTTTGGAATCAGACCGGAAGGACATTCTGTGGCTTCCCCTCAACTCCAAAACATCAGCCAAATTTATTTGCTGCCTTTATCGCTCTCCCTCGGACCATAACTGGGATGACCTACTCGAATACCTCGCCGTCCAGATCGACTTCCTGAACATCAATCATCCCGCTTTAGAGGTAGTTCTTCTCGGTGATTTCAACCCCCATAATGAGCTTTGGTTGGGCTCAAACAAGACCGACGCAGCAGGTCGTGCAGTCGAAGCGTTCGCTCTTACCCAAAGGCTGGTAACGAGCCCTACTTTTTCCCCCTCATCTCGCCACACGCCAGTAACCTGCTGGATCTCTTTCTGACCACGCATCCTGTAACTTACAGCACTGCTGACCTGGCCCCCCTGGGTAACTCAGACCACGGTGTCGTGGAGGTTAGGTTTCGGCCAGAACCCGTACAGGCCGCAAAACTTGGCAATACGAACATGCCGACTGGGAGGGGCTCAGAGACTTCTTCTCTAGCTTTCCTTGGAAAGATGTCTGTTTCACTAACGCGGATGCGTCGGCCGTCTGTTCTTCGATAACCGAAATTATCCACGTCGGAGTGGAGGAATACATCCCTCACACAGTGAAAGTGCTTAGATCAGGGTCCAACGGCTGGTTTAACAAATCGTGTGACGCTGCTCGCCAGCAGAAGATCAAGGCACACAGAACCTTCTTACAAAACCCCACTGTAGAGAACAGACAAGCCGACGTTGAGTCCAGAAACAAATATAAAGCAGCGGTTCGCAATGCCAAAAACCAGCACGATATAAAAGTTAGGCACAGGGTAATGTCTCAGCGCAACGGCAGTCGGTCTTTCTGGACGCTGGCTAAGCAGACTGAAAAGAACTTCTCACACAGTAGCCTTCCACCACTTACGCGTCAGGATGGAACTATGGTATTCAACTCAAAGGCCAACGCAGAAGTGCTATCCAAGATCTTTGCTGCCAAATCCACCAAGGACGTCCTCCCCAACGCCCAAGTGCCGTCAATTCAAAGGGTTCCCTATGCGGGAGGTAACATTCAGGCATAAGACCGTAAGTCGAGTGCTCTTGTTGCTCGATATCAACAAAGCTTCTGGTCCGGACTTGATTTCTGCCATTGTACTGAAGAGGTGTGCACCGGAGCTTCCTCCAGTTCTTTCGCGTCTCTTCCAGATATCTTATGAATCCGGCACCTTCCCAGAAAACTGGAAATTTGCTCATGCCCAACCCATCCCAAAAAATCGATCGAAGACCGAACCTTACAACTACTGGCTCTGGTTTCTGTTTTAAGTAAGGTGATGGAGAGGTGCATAAATCGCGAGCTTCTGGACTACCTCGAACGTCACGGCTTGATTAGCGACAGGCAGTATGGTTTCCGGCACCAGCGATCCACAGGGGACCTCTTAGCTTACGTCACTCAATTGTGGAGTAAACTCATCCAGTCTTATGGTGAGGCTCATGTCGTTGCTCTTGAAATCACGAAAGCATTCGATCAGCTGTGGCACGCTGGCCTCTTAAGCAAACTTCCATCCTATGGCCTCCCAGAAAAGCTTTGCAGATGGGTGGCTGACTTTATCTCTGGCCGCAAGATATCCGTCGTAATTGACGGGTTCTCCTCTTCATCCACAACGTCAACACGGGTGTTCCCCAGGGATCGATCTTGGCTCCGACATATCAACGACCTCTTTTCCTGCACGATCAACCCAATCCACAGCGTCGCTGATGACAGCACTCTACATGCAGGAATGACAAGCCGATCTCTGCCGCTGAATTGGAAAAAAGAAGACTAGCGATGACTTCCTCTCTGACAAGAGACCTGGAGGCTATCAATGCTTGGGGACGCAACAAACTTGTACAGTTCAATGCTTCCAAAACGCAGTACTGTACTTTGACGAACAAAAAGCGTCCCTGCGCTCACCCGGTTTCGATGGATGGTCGAGTTCTGCCAAAGAGCCATTCATTTCGGCTGGTCGGGGTCCAGATCACCGAGGACCTGATCAGGCACGAACACATCTCGTCAATAGCTGCAGCCGCTGGGAAAAAGCTAGGCTATTTGTTTAGGGCTAAGAAGTACTTTTCTCCGCATGACCTTCTCACTCTATACAAGGCCCAGATAAGGCCCAGCCTCGAGTATTGCTCACACGTTTGGGGTGCCTCCGCTCGATGCTGTCCAGAGGAGGGCGGTCTGACTGATCGATGACTCTTCGCTAACAGACAGTCTCGGGACTCTTTCGCACCGGTGGGCTGTCGGCGATTTAGCTCTTTTCTACCGTTAAACCAACGGGC